TTGAACCGCCAGCCTTCTGGTTAGCAGTCAAGTGCTTTAGCCACTATGCTACCAGAGCTCCTCTAGCTGTACAAAATTTCTGTCATGCTGTCCAGGGCCATTTCTGGGCCAAGATGGAAAGACTCCATACTTGGAAGAAATAAAGAATGGGCAGTGGGGCTGAGGGGGAAGGCCCTACACTGAGGAGACACTTCACCGGTCTCCAAGCAATTTCCACTTCATTACCTGCATTTTACTTGTTCAAAGTCCAAAGGAGTGAGTTTCACCCTCTCAGCCCTAGGCCCGGACCCAGGCTAACGGTCTACCATACAGGCTGGCCACTGTGCCCCTTGGGGTCTTCACATCAGCAGCCTGGCTCTGCAGGCAGAAGCTGGTGGCCAGTGCCCTCAGTGCCAGGTCTCCAGACCCAGCTGAGCGGCCATCACCTAGCTAGCCCTGAGCCTGGGACCTTCCGGGCCCCACTCTCTACTCAGGACTGGCAGCCGTTGTGCCCTGGTCCTCGTGCGCCTGCGCACTCACAGGATTTTTGTGGGGGGGGGGGAGAAGATCTCTGCGCAGACTCATTAGGGCTCTTCCTGTCACGTGTTCGGACCACACGTTGGCAATGGGAACGGCTACACCAAGCTTCAATTTCTGATGTTGCTCACTTCTGGTACGTCTGTTATGAGCTCTGGTGGCATAGTGTATAAAGCATTCCGCTGCTGACCAAAAGGTCAGCGGTTCTCATTAGCTGCTGGTGGGAGAAAGATGAGGCAGTCTGTTTCTGTAAAGATTTACAGCCTTGCGAACCCTGTGGGGCAGTTCTACTCTGTCCTATAAGGTCACTACGAGTCGTAATCCACTCCACGGCCCTGGGTTTGGTTTGGTATGTTTCTTACACACACCCGCTACAAGGTGATCAGGATCACTGACAACAGAAGTTTTTCATCTTTTGTGTCCCCTAGAAAAAAGTTGGTCATAAATGAAATTTAGAAGGTGTACATATTGTGAATATTGAAAAAAAGTCAGACGCTAAATTAATGATTCAGTTTTAAAAAGCATAAGTAATAATAAAGAAAATTAATGGAGTTTATAGAAAGACTCCAGAAAGACTATTTAAAAAAAAAAA